GAACTCCTCAGCACACGTACGAAGTGCCGCACATGGGAAACACATAGGCAGAAATTGCCGACGCGCCATGCCGACGCGCGTAGGTGGCGGCCATTTTGGATTTGCCGATGGCAATAGATTGACCGTAATTTTTTCGTTCGTACTCAATTCTAACGCGCATGCGACTTATGAACTCGCTTAACCGGAAAAAATGTGCGCGTTAGATTCGAGTAATTACGGTAAGTCCAAGAAGACTGTGTGGCGATATAAGAAAATAATAGATAAGTAAATCAAATGATAGGAAGGGAAGGAAAAATCAAAACTGTAAAACTAGATTTAAAAAAAATAAATGGCAAGAACAAGAAAAACTGAGAAGCTAGCAAAAACGCGTCCGGCTCGACGGTGCGTTGAATACATTGCAATGAATGCGAGAGCAACAAATTGTAATGCTATACCAAGTAAGGCTGGCTGCCATCATCATCTATCTGCATCATCATAATTTCTTAGCACTTGCACTTTGCCTCTCTTGCCACTTATTTGGGCGTGGTGTTTTGCAGGTGGAAGACTATGCGGAAATGCCATGGCTGTCAGCAAGTAGGCATGTTGAAGGGGCTATTATTAAGGTGCAATTACAGACGAATCGACAAAAGTATCAAAATAGGCCTATAAAGCTCTGGAGTTCCTTTGAAGTCAATGGCTTAGGAAACTGTGTGATGGCATTGAGTTTTGCTGTGTCAGGTAGAACACTGTCCTTGCTGACAACATTCCCTAAGATGGGGAGCTTCCGGGTGGCAAAATGACACTTCAAATTCAGCTGAAGACCTGCATGTGTGAGGCATTCCAGGACACTTGCGAGGCGCAGGAAATGTGTGTCAAAGTCCTTCAAAAAAAAAAAAAAAATAGGCGGCTTCATCGAGATAGCAAAGACACATCTGCCATATGAGGTCTTAAAGTGTGTTGTCCATCAGACGCTCGAAAGTTGAAGGGCGTTGCAAAGGCCAAACAGCATCACATCAAACTAGTATGGGCCGTCTGGTGTTACAAACGCAGTCTTGAGGCAGTCAACATCATTAATGGGTACCTGCGAGTACCCCCACCGAAGGGCCAGCGAGGAATAGAACTCTGCCTCTTGCAAACAGTTGAGAGCATCGTCGATTCTGGGGAGCGGATAAACATCTTTGCGCATGCCCCGCCACGGTGGTCTAGTGGCTAAGGTACTCAGCTGCTGACCCGCAAGTCGCGGGTTCGAATCCCGGCTGCGGCAGCTGCATTTCCGATGGAGGCGGAAATGTTGTAGGCCCGTGTGCTCAGATTTGGGTGCACGTTAAAGAACCCCAGGTGGTCGAAATTTCCGGAGCCCTCCACTACGGCGTCTCTCATAATTATATGGTAGTTTTGGGACGTTAAACTCCACAAATCAATCAATCTTTGCGCATGATCTTGTTAAAGTGCCTATAATCCACACAGAATCGGATGGTACCATCCTTCTTTTTGACAAGTGCCACCAGGGAGGCCCACAGACTGTTGGACAGTTGTATGATGCCACGATTTAGCTTATTAGTCACCTGATCATCAATAACTTGGCATTAAGTGTGTGAGACCCAGTATGGACACTGATGCAATGGTGCATGGATGCCAGTGTCAGTACAATGAGCGATTGCATATTTTCGATCTATATTGGTTTGTTTGAAGTCGAAAAACATCTGAGAGGCTGCCGAGAAGTGTGAGTAGTTGGGTTCATTGAGCAACAGGAAGATCAGAATCAATGGATGAAGGTGTGATGAATGATGAAAACGTTGACAACAACGAAAGTGCAGGGCAAGGTGCATATGATTTCGAGCCAGCTGTGCACGTGAAGCTGTCCAATCAGCTATCCAATCAGCTGATGACTTGTATTGGTCCATAAATGTGGTGCGCTATGATTGGGCCACGTGTGAAGATTACGTGGCGGGAAGCTTTGGGGCTGGGAACGAGCCGAAGCAGTGGCAGATGGAAGACAGCAGGCCGAAGCGTCGGATGCTGGCAGCCTAGGTTCCAGCCAGAGAACGTGGCCGTCGACGCTGCTGCCGTCTAATTACCAGCTGGGGCGGCATTGCCAGCACGAGTACTGCATCTCGTAGCACGACCTGGCCTGCTGTTCTGTTTCTTGCCGAGGGCATCGGGGATCTCAGCGAGGCATCTTGGCGGTCAGCTGTTCGGCACAGTGACTGACGTGGCCTGGCAAATGGTCACAGTTGTGCCAAGCATCGCGTCTCAAAGCAAGCTGTTCGCTGGACGGGCTGGCCATTGCCCGCATGGAGCATTGCGTCTCCGATAAGGGTTAGCTGCTTTCGTAGTGGGACCCCACGTTGTCAAGTGTCATCGTCGCCATAGTGTCGCACTTCAACCCGTGAGACATTCCATCGCGTCTTCCATCTGCCTTTGACCTGCACCTCAGCGTCCGTTGTACCACCCATCTTGCCCTCGGGTTTTTGAGCATGCTTTCTTGAACTTTTGTTGGTCACTTTTTAAATCAAGCTTAGTTTCTCTCTGTTTGCATTGCTCTATTTGTACCTCAGTGTTTGCTGTATTTTTTCTTGTGACGTGTGATGAATGTCGTGTGTCTTAACATGTCGTCTCAGAGTTCATTTCTCTTTACACGGCACGCAAAACAAGCATGACGGACTTCAGTCCTTCATTATTTTTATTACAGAAGGAAGGCATCTGGGGAAGATGTGGTGGGAGCGGGAAGTGGGATCTGAAGGCTTGTTGCTGGATCAGGCAGTTGACTGGTGCAAGCTCAGTCAATGTCCTTAAGGCACCCGAGACATTCCCCACAGTATAATGTTGCTGATACTGAATAAATGGATGTGCAAGAGTTTTCGGTTATGAGAAGAACAAAGGGTTGCAGGAAGCTTTATCGAGAAGTGAATTCTTCTGACAGTGTGAACATGGCATATGAAAAAAGAGCATCCTTGCACTGCAGGAGATGACACAAGAACAGAAGACATAGGTGGGTTATTCGTATCTGCGGTGAAGTCAGAGCTTCATCATACTGATGACTCAGAACCACTCAATCCCTTTGCACTCAAGTAGGTCCCATGTTTTTCAAGATAGTTCACGTCGCTTTGTCTCTCGCTACAGTAGTGACCCGAAGAGAACGCCTTTCGACAAGCAGCCGGTGCCATGCTTCTGCGACTTTGCCCGCCTGTGAAGCCTTTCCACCTGGCCTACCTGCGGCACAGCTGTTGATGCACACCATCTTGCTCAACGCGCTGCTTGTAGAGCTACACCATCTTGCTGCCATATTTGCAGCCATACGATGCTCTCTGCACTGCGGTACTCGTCTTTTACGGCTTTGCTTAGTGCCTGTGTGCGGGGACACTCGACATTTAAGTTTCCTCTGCTTCCCAGCGAGCGGTACCACCTAGCCCGCAGACCTCTTTTGACCAAGACTGTGCTTCGCCAGCTATGTCTTCTTCTTTGCATCTGGTCACTAGAACAGTGAGTTCTTCACCAGACCACCATGATGACGGGGTCAAAAAATGGCCTTACTTCAACTGGCCCTACCCACCGAGAGTTGTGTTCCCTCGGAGTCCTCGTACAACAGTCCATCAGGCGTGCCCACCATCTTCATGTCTTCCTCAACCTCCTCAGCCCGATACACCCCAGGGATGTCACCGCATGCTCTGGAGTCTGTCATGGACATGGACGTGGCTGAAATTAGCCCCCCAGTAGTGGAGGCATTGCTGTCGACGAACCAACTGACTTTTGATCGGACCCAGCGCTCTGTGTGTCCTGCCAGCAGCAACCAGCGTAGCCCTCGAAGTCTCTTGCGGTCGAAGTTCAAGCCCTCAGCCATCTACGGCCAAACTTCCGAGACGCTGGCACTATGACCAACACTCCTGAGGACAACGTGCCTAGTCTGCATATAGCACAGCAGATCGCACATGCCACGCCTCCCGTTGCGGCAGCCATAGGACATACCAACCTATGCATGAGCCCTCGTGCGTCGACTGCTGAAGGTGCTTCCCTATGTCAAAGGGGAACTGAGGCTCCTTCAGAGTTCACGCTTGCTGGGTCCCATAAAATACCTCCTACCGACTTCTTGACTGCGGCCGGGAACCAGCAGGCAGATAGCTGGAATGCAAGCATGCCCTTCTGCACTCCGCCAGGCGTCATTCACCTCCACCTGACGTCTACATCGTTACTTATCCACTACCAACGATAGTGGTCAAGTCGACCTATCTTCGAACACCGCTCCAAGTGATGATACCTACGTACCGATATCTGCATCAGTGCTGTGCACTGATGCAGTGCTGCGCACGTAAAATTCCCATTCGCATCGGTGCTCTGCCGCTGTGTTCTCGACAGTCCCCATCAGGTCCTCGTGACACCCACTTGGGTACGAACACAGTGTACTGTGACAAAAGTCGTTGCCCACCCTACTTATTCTAGTTCTGTCCGCTAGAAAGAATATAAAGAACCCTTGCCTTTCTATGTTAACAACTTGGACTGTCCATCGAGGGCCCTGTCTCGCGTCACGAACACTCTTGTACATACGTCCTCATACTGTTAATTCTGGGTTCGTTTCTGCAGTGGAGTAGTAATCTGTAGTGCCATTATCATCAGCCTGCATCATCATCCTCGTTATCATTTCTTACATTTCTTAGCAATTGTGCTGCGCCTCTCGTGCTGCTCATCTGCAGCTCGAAGAGCAAGATAGAAGTTCCCGTCTCTGATGGTTCGGACTCGGGCAGCTGCCGCCACTCTGTCACTCTGCTTTGGGCCTATAAAGTAATGTGGCGAGGTCTTTTATGTTGATCTGCCTCTTTCTGCAGAGCTTATGAAGTTGTGTTTAACAAAGAAAGAAACCCTTGATCCATTCCTCTTGTTTTGTTTTTACACAGTCTAAATTCTGTTTAACATCTAACACAACCTCAGCAACTACTTCTGTAGTGGCATCTTTTCCTTTTGTGCTTTGGACAAATGTCACAAAAGAGGAATCGACAGTCGTTAATTTGTGTATTGTGATGTTCCAGGAGACCCCGAAGTTGAGGCGTCCCTCTGGTCGGTGCAGCTGGATCCCTGCTGGGCCGAATTTGTTGAACGACCCGGGTCGAGACCACGTGCTTTTGTGGAGCCACTGCCCATCATGCTTTGGATAGCGGCACCGGCAACGCTGGCGTCGCATGTGCCGCTGCTGCTGCACGTGCCGGCGCCCCTGCGGCTGCAGCTGGGGCGGAGGGAGTGTGCTTTCTTGCTGCGGCTTGCACGCTCGGCTGCCGTGCTGCACGAGCAGGCAGCTGTCGACCGACTGGTGTGTGCGCATGCCTTTTCGAGTGACCTAATATTACGAAGGAAAAAAAAATCATGGCAACTATGCACTAGTAGCGCAAAGAGTGAGAGAACGGCAGAGTTAATGGTCTTCTCTAGCATATGTACAAGCACCAGCTCACATTCCTTCTCTATTTTTTCCGTTCAACTATGCTATATTTGCCCTCCTCCTCACTGTCACTTCATTCCCCCTCGCCCCCTTTTCTCTTTCTCACTACGTACTTGTACTGTATTAAGCTTGACTATGATCTTCTATTTTATTCCCTTTTCCCTGCTTTTCTTCTTTCATCCCCCGCTTTGCCAGCTTACATTGTTGATAAACAGACCTACTTCGGGCTTAAACAGTTCCACTGGTAAAACTTGAGGGGGAGTATATTGTGTCATGCAGCCAAGCTATGGAAGCGAACACTCCCATGATGCCAGCAGTGTCAGCCTAGCATGCTGCTTTTTGTGCACCTTCATGTTATAAAAGTGAAATTCCCTAGGCTTCGGCGTTAGCTGCTGGTAGTTTTTACTTGTTTGGCTGACATACAGGAGGTTCTAAAACAGTAAAAAATTGCAAGTACTGAAGGCTACTGCATGCAAACTCTGACCATGTGCTAAGTGTACTCTGGAGGCTTCAGTCGCGCTATTCAGTGCTTCCTCCTAGCTTCTTGCTTCTTTCATGTCTGATCTGATCGACTTTAGCTCGGGTAAAAGTAGAAATTGAAGAAGGTTTTACCCTGAAAGAAGCTGCTAACTATTCATCCTGCTTATTGTATGAACTTGTGGACATTTTAAAATCAGAAAAAGCTATCTGTGACAGTGTGAGGCCATAGGAATGTGGGAGAGAAAAAGGGAGGTAAAAAGACAAAAGAATTTTGTCGTTCCTTGGTACTGCTTGCTGCAGATCTGGGACCTCTGGGCTCCGTGGACTATGAAATTCATGTGATCAGTGGGAATTAGTGACATAATAAGTGCTCAACTTTCTTCTTCATCAATGGGTAGTAGAAAGTTTGAAATAGAAGTCCCCAATTTCGCCCAAAATAACTAGCATCTTTCTATTGCATTTACTGCTCAATTGACTCTGACAAGGCAGCAACCACTGAGATATGTCATTCCCTGCAGGCTATCCTCGGTCCAAGCGGCCGAGCACCTCCATCAGTGAGTGTGACGGCTCTGTGGCCCCGTGTGGAGGTGACACTGCTGCTGCCACCAGCACCCACCAATGCAGTTGGTGGTTCGGCCAGCGATGCCTCGGAGCGGCCCTCGTCTTCAACCACCACTAGCGAAGCTGATGAGGTTCCGCCGCATGGTGCGGATGACTCGCCAGACTCTCCACTGCGACAGTCACTGCCGACTTCTATCGGCGTGCCTCTGCCAGTTCCCACAGGCGCAGGAGAGACGACCAAGGTGGCTCCCCCGTGGACCCTTCGCAAGGGATTCGCTACTGTTGTGTCGGGAATAGACGCAGTTCTTGCCAAAGGTGAGCAAGGTTGCTCAACCTAGATTGGTAGCTTTGTTGCAGCTCAAGCTGAAAATTCAACATGCCTGGTAGAGGAAACCCTAAGCCGAAACACCATCCTATATTGGGAAAGATTGCACTAACTGGTTTCCGCTAATCTATTGCTAGACACTGAACAGAATTATAGAAAAATAAAAGCATTGTTTCACCTAAAAATTTTGTTAGTAACAGTCACTTAACATTGATGTGATGAAGTTGATTAAGTCGGTACTATCATCATGTTGAAGTTTCGGACAAACATATGATCAGAAATACTGCAAAATCAAATTTCAGTCACAAGGAATGAGCTTACGTTATGCTTACATTATGTTTGGGGAGAACAACCAATTCTACGGTTAGAGCTGCAGCAGTGCAGAAAGCGCAAAAAAAGAACATGAGAAGTGGACTATGCATTCGTTCCACCACCACAACTTGCCACATAATTTTGGCAATCACACAAAGCACTACAACTGCATGAACGCATCATTATCATCATCTTCCTGACATCATCTTCCTACAGGGCGAAGGCCTCTCCCATAATCCCACCTTATACCAGTAAGCCTTTTAATCTCATTAACTCACCTAACTTTCTGTCTCCCCTTCGTGCATTTGCCCTCTCTGGGAATCCAGTCAGTTACCCTTGATAACCGGCGGTTATCCTGCCTACATGCTATGCGCCTGGCCCATGTCCATTTCCTCTTAATTTCAACTGTAATATTCTTAACATCGGTTTGTTCCTTTATGCACTCTGCTCTTTTTTTGTCTCTTGAGGTTTCACCTATCATTTTTCTTTCCATCGCTCATTGCATCGTCCTCAATTTAAGCAGAACCTTTTTAGTAAGCCTCCAGGTTTCTACTCTGTAGGCAAGTACTGGCAAGATGCAGCTGTTATATATCTTCCTCTTGAGTGTTAGTGGCAGATTACCATTCATGCTTTGAGAATTCTTAGTGAATGTTATCCACCCCATCCTTATTCTTCTAGTTATTTCACTCTCATGGTTTGGCTCCAAGGTTACTACTTGTCCTAAGTAGGCATAGTCCTTTAGAACTCCCAGCGTCTCTCCACCTATCACAAAGTGCTGTTTTCTGCCGAGACTGTTGCACATTACTTTAGTTCTATGCATATTAATATTCAGAGCTACTCTTCTGCTTTCCGTGTCCAGTTCAGTAATCATGAGCAGTAATTTGTTCCCTGAGTTGCTCATCAAAAAAATGTCATCAGTGAATCGCAGGTTACTAAGATACTCTCCATTAACTCTTATCCTTAAGTCTTTCCCAATGTAGGGCTGTGAAAACCTCCTGTAAACACGTAAATTGCATTGGGCAGATTGTGTCTCCCTGCCTTACGCTCTTTTTTATTGAGATTTTGTGGCTTTGTTTATGGAGAACTATGGTGGCTGTAGATCTGCTGTAGATTTCTTTCAGTATGTTTATGTAGGGCTCTTCGATGCCCTGATTCTATAGTGCCTGCATTACTGTTGATGTCTCGACTGAGTCAAACGCCTTCTCGTAATTTATGAAGGATATGTATAGGGGTTGGTTGTATTTCGCGGATTTCTCTATTACCTGACTGATAGTATGAATATGGTCTATTATTGAGTAGCCTGTATGAAATCCTGCTTGGTCCTTTGGTTGATTGAACTCTAATGTCACCTTAATTTTGTTAGCTAATATTTTTGTAAATAGTAGAGAACGGACAGTAAGCTGATTGGCTTGTAATTTTTCAAGTCCTTGATGTTGGCCTTCTTATGAATTAAGATGATGTTGGCCTTCTTATGAATTAAGATGATGTTGGCCTTCTTCCAAGATTCTGGTACCCTTCCCTCAACAGACACTTCGTATGTAAGGTTGCTAGTTTTTCTAACACAATTTCCCCGCCATCTTTCAGGAGGTCTGTTGTTACCTCATCCTCACCAGCGGCTTTGCCTCTTTGCATTCCTTCTAGGGCTTTCCTTACTTCCCCGGTAGTTACTGGTAGGATGTCGCATTCCTTTGGACCATTATTGTTTCTCACGATATCATCATGGCTGTTTTGGCTTTTGTACAGCCCTCTGTGGAACTCATCTGCCACGACGTCTATTCTATACATATTGGTTATGACAGTGCCTTCCTTGTTCCTTAATGCATACATCCAGTTTTGCCTATGCACAAGTTTACCATCACAGCTTTTAGGCGTCGGCCGCTTTTGCTTCTTTTAGGTTTCTGCCGTTCTAATGTCGGCTACCTCACACTTATTGAATAACTTCAAAAGCTCCACTATCTCTATTTTGTCGGTTGCATGCAACAAATCAATCATTTGCTACTTTAAATCGCATGGAAGAAAAGCAACAACTTATTACGGCAACTTCTTTCATGGCCTCCACTTCTGTGGTACTCGTGAGTATTGTGCCTGGTGAATTTAGCTAGGTACAGTACCTTTTCTTTTGTTTTATTCCCCATAATCAATAAAATCGGCATTGCTCTGGCGGTCTAGGTGCAGCGGATGGTGAAATGGACTCTGTGGCAGATGACGACACCGTCTCCCTGCGGAGCGACCTCTCGTCGGACTCTGACCAGCTGCTCCTTGCAACTGGGGCACTGGATGAGGTCCTGGGTCGCGGTGGTGCCGCCGAAGTCGCGCAAGATGCAGCCGAGCTTCTCGCCATGGACCATCACGGAGGCGGTGCACAGGCCACTACCATGCTGGAAAGTGCCGAGTGGCACAACGGGCGTCGTGTTGGGAGTGGCTCTGGCCGTCCCTGCGTGGCGGTGCGCCTGCACGACCTGCAACTCGTGGGCTGGGCAGGCCCCAAAGGTGCAACGCTACTGCTCCAGAGTCAGCACCTAGCTCTCGAAGAAAGGCACACTGCCGCAGCTGCCACGGCTGCAGGTGAGTCAGGAGCATCGGCGGTTTTTGGAGAGTACAGCTAAACCTGCTTTTAACGATCCTCCATATAATGAATTCCTCAATATAATGAAGCTTTTCTATTCCCCGCTCTCCCTACATCGAAGCAAATGTATTTGTGACCTCCATGTAACAAAGCAACAGCGGGAGACAACCTTGATATAACGAATTTGCCCCACAGAAAATCTAGGAATTTTGCTCTGCATTTTGTCATTTTGTTACGAGTATGCATTTTCGGTGGCTGCCCCGCCGCCGACCAAGCGCGAAGCGGCAGTGGCAGGCACGCGGGCCGCGTCGGCGTGAGGGCGGGCCTGCACCCCACCAGCCTGCGTTGCCGCCATTCTCACCGCCGGGTGTGCCCCCCTCCCTACAAAAAAAAAAAAAAAGAAAAAAAAAAGCAGAAAAATAACTACTTGTGCACGTCGGCAGTGCCACGATTTTCGGTTGCGTGACATATGTGGGGCCGCACTGCATATGTGGGGCCGCACTGCATATGTAGGGCCCTTTACCGAATAGTGCTTCGCGGTATTCGTGTCTGTGGCCATGTTGTTCGCTATTCGTTTTTGACGCTGTGCGCGCGTGCATAATTTCACTGCACGCACTAGGTGTGGCCCCCGACGTCATTCAGCTTTGCTTTCTTTTTTTTATTGCAATAGTATTTATGCATATGGACAGTCTCGGTTGGTTTTTGCCGCCGCCGCCGTCATTCATCGTATTAGTACGTATATATATATATATATATATAAAAAGCCACCTGTGCTAGGCGCCCAGCTCGTCACGGTGTGCTGACGCGGGCTTATCTCCCACGCTACTTTGCCCCGCGAATGAGGGGGGTTAGATGCATGTGCGAGGGCATTTATCATTCGGCGGGGGGAAACGTGTGCCTTCGACATTGACCGAATGATTGCGTTCACCTCGTTCGCTGGACAGGGGCTGTTTGCAAAAAATTGCGCTTTTTAAACACAGCAAAGTAACAACTGACGCACTTGTTAGTTTGCACTCATTATGTTTCGTGTCGTTTTTGTTTAAACAGCATGTTAAGTGTCGAGTGGTAAATGTTGTTAGTTTGCTGTCCCTCTGTGTATGTTGTTTTTGTGTGTCATTTGTGCGAGAGTAGCACGCTGCACGTTTCGATCTGCTTGCCGTTCTAAGCGTTACATTCCAAGTTGTTGTTATCGCATTCATTGCTTCGCCCTTGCGGCGAAGCTGTGACTTTTTATTATTTCGGACGGCCGTGTCCTCACCACCTAGGGAATGTCAAATCAGGCGCTGATCGAAATTCTTTGAGACCTTGATGACGACGGATCTTTGGTGGTCAACTCGTCACGCGCTTCGGTTTTGCGCCGCGCCATGAGTTCATAGGGTGGTAGCTTTCGCGGTTAGTCAATTAGTTCGGGCAACACAGCGGCGCATTCAATGCAGGGCAATCATCGCGATAGCAAAAAATTTTAATGTTATAAAAAGTAAGGCTGGCAGCCAACTCTTTTAGATCCAATATCACGGAACTCCTACAAAAAAAAAGAAAAAAATGCTGGTGTGATCATACGGCTGCTCCAAGAAGAAGTGCTCGTTTTGCACAGTCCCTTCGTGTTAAAATCGCACTGATACTCACAGAGATAGAAAGCGCGCCAGCGATCGTGACCGCCCTTAAAATTCAAGTTCAATTTTGCTACTTTTTGCTGGTGCCTAAACGGCACCTTTGTATAAGAGGCATCGCCTACCTTTTACAACTTCTCTGGCGGCTGCATTTTCGATGGAGGCGAAAATGCTGTAGGCCTGTGTACTCAGATTCGGGTGCCCATTAAAGAACCCATCCGGGGGGGGGGGGGGGGGGGGGGGCAGGTGGTCTAAATTTTTGGAGCCCTTCATTACAGTGTCTTTCATAATCATATGGCAGTTTCGGGACGTTAAACCTCACATATAAATCAATAATCAATCAACCTTTTACAACTTTCACAACAAAAGTTGATACAGTAAAAGCTCACTTGTTCTAATTCAGTTACGTCGAGTACTTAGTTGATTCAAACTGATGCCCTGATCTCGGCACAGCCCTGTGTATTTCTATGGGGGAGGACTCCTGATCACTCTAGTGTGTCAATATTCAGAATGGGTAATTTGAACTGGGATCTCCCAGTTTTTATTGCTCCATGCAAAAGTAAGCCCAGAGACATCTCTATGTGTTGCAAAACAAAACCAAGTTTTCTAGAGAGGCAAAACAAGAAAACTGTAGCACTTCTCAACAGATTAGATTTCATATGCTAAGCTGGAGCAATTGGGCAAGCTACAAACAATGCTCATCAGGTCAGGATGGAAGAAAGGCAAGCAAATGAAAAGTACTGATTCTTGTTGAGTTAACCATATTCTGGTTCAGAGTAGACGCAGGAGAGACCCCGATTGCTTTTAATTTTGATTGCTTCAACTCTATCATGTAAATACACGTATTTTGGAGCACAAGTAAGTTGTATATTTCGATGTTAAGGCTTGCTGCTCCCAAAAATGCATGCCAGTGTTTGTTTCTATCACATTATTGACTGATGAATTAGGTTGTATAGTTATGCGTGTGAGTAGGCGTGAGTGTGATCGTGAGTGAGTGCTCATGACTCCATGACTGTGAGTACGTGTGAGCATGAATGTGAGCGAATGCTAATGTGTCTGAGTAGGTTTTAAGTATCTGTGAGTGTGCATGTGTGAGTATGAACGTGAATGGGTGCCTGTGAGTGTGATTAGGCATGAGTATGAACCTGAGTTAACACTCATGAGTGTGAGTGGGTATGAGTGTGAACATGAGTTATAATTAGTGTGAGTGGTCATGAGTATGAATATGAGTACTCATGAGTGTGAGTAGTCGTAAGTATGAACGGGAGGGAGGACCTATGAGTTGGTGTGAGTATGGACGTGAGTTGACTTTAGTGTGAGTATTTGTGGGAATTAATGTGAGTGAGGGTGTATGAGTGTGAGTTGGCGTTTAAAGTGAGTGAGGGCTTATGGGTGTAAATAGTCGTGAGTACGAAGTGAGTAAGTGGCTACGAGTGTAAGTAGTCGTAAGTATGAATGTGAGTGAGTACCGTATTTACTCGTGTAATGAACCGACCCTTTTTTAAGGACCCAATTTAAGGGGAGGGTTCATAACGCGGGAGGAAAAAGTCACGGAAGTCATAACAGCGAAAATTTCGGGTGACGACTTTGCTTGTTTCAACCCATGAAATGCGAGACAAATCTTTCTTGTAGCCCTAAGCTCTTTTTGTTTTGTCCTGTAATGAAAGTGCATCGATGAAGTGCATCGACGCCGAAGTGTCGATGCACTTCATTGACGCATTTTCGTTCTGTTTCAATTTTTCAGCGCATGCTGTTAGTAACCAGCTGTGTAGCTAGCATACCGGCCAAATGTGCTCTGCCCAGCAGCTGTCCCAACTAAGTTCACAACGACAAAACCAACTACCAAAACGCAGCGTCAGATGGCGGCGTACAAACGTTCTGTTTGACGTTGCGGGTGCACAACACGACGTCGGCTCGGTGGGTGCGGTTGCGCTTTGCATAGGTCCGAGATGGCGAGCGCGCGGTACTGTATGTTGTGTGCTCCAAACATATAGTATGAAGCTATATGTTTGGAGCACACAACATAGGAAGCAGATTTTGATTTCTCTTGATGCAAGTTTTTCAAACTAGTCTTTTCTGTGACCACACAATGGCCACATTCAGGGCTGTGAAGTTTAGTGTACTGTAAAGTAAGAAATAATGACTCATTCAAAAAAAGTGCTTCTTATGTTGCATGTCTTATGCTTTCTACTGTCAATCCCTATGTTATTTATAAATTTTTTACAAGTGGTTATTTTTATATTATGGTAAGAGCAATAGAAATCGTTATCTTGATTATTTAATTAACTAATGAAGCTACAGAAAAAATAACATTTTCAGAATCCGGGGAACAAACTAAGTAAGCATGCCACGTTTTGTCACATTTGGTTCAAAACTAAATGAGAGAGCCCTAAGAACCGACCCATGTCCCCCCTTAAGTGGTCAGTGTCTTGACAGGGAAGCATAGCGTCCAACATAGTTTGAACTTTGCAGCTGTACAGAAGGTGAAATAGTGTGAATTGAGTTGTTTCCTGAACAGCCGTGTTGTAAGCAAACATCACATAAGGTAATATCTCATCCAACGTTTTGTGTTGGACGTCGATGTACATGGAGATCATATCTGTGACTGTCTTATTTAGTCACTCGTTAGGTCCTTTGCTCTGAGGATGGTGAGCAGTCGTCTTCTGATGCGTAGTGTTGCTTAGCCGAAAAACCTCGTCCATAAGTTGCGCAGCAATTGCTGTCCCCCGGTCTGTTATTACTGTAGAGGGAGCTCTATGACACAGTACAATGCGGCACATGAAGAACTGCGCTACCTCGGCAGACGTGGCTTGGGGTATCGCTTCTGTCCCGGCATAGCATGTCAAACAGTCAGTTGCGACTATCACCTATTTGTTGCCCTTGGTAGACAGAGGAAAAGGGCCGAGAAGGTCCATGAAAACTTGGTCAAATAGCTTGTGAGGCAGCTCAATTAATGGAAGTTATCCCACCGGCTTGCTTGATGGTGACTTGCGACGCGGACATCCACGACAGCCTTCTATGTACTGTTTGACGTTTTCTGAAAGGCCCGGCCAAAAATATGCTTCAGCTACTCTGCCGAGTGTTCGTGAGTGGCTTAGGCGGCCAGATGTAGGCTCGTCATGGCAAGCGAAGAGGACGTCATCCCGCATGTCACTAAGAACTGCGAGGAGGTAGGTGTGGCTCGTAGAACGGGTGTTTTTTTATACAAGGCTTTGTTTCAAAGACAAAAGGATGTCAATACTTGGGATAGATGACGTAGTATGACTGTGGTACGACCTTCTAAAATAATCGATGACCGGTCGAATCTCCTTGTCGTCTCGCTGCCATCTGCTCAAGTCCGATGATCTGAGGGTGCCTAGGAAATCGTCATCATCTTATGCTTCCCGACTGACGGGAGGAATCAATGCACGGGACAGCGTGTCCGGGTCTTCATGCTTCCGGCCAGACTTATAAACGATGGTTATGTCGAATTTCTTTAGGCACAAACTCTACCGGACCAGTCATCCGAAGAGATCACGTATGTTCACCAATCAACAGAGGGCATGATGGTCTGTCACAACATTGATGACCATACCGGTAAGGGCAAAACTTGGTGATCGCCCATACAACAGCAAGATACTATTTTTTTGTGGTCGAGTAATTCGCCTCAGCTTGGGACGGTGAGCGGCTCGCATGAGCTATAACTTTCTCCTCTTTGTGTTGATGTTGGACGAGCTCTGCGCTGAGGTCGATGTTACTGGCGTCAGTATGCAAATATGTCTCAGCATCGTGGTCAAAATGTGCAAGAACGGATGCTGACTACATGCGCTGTCATAGTTCGGCAAAAGCAGCCTGTTGTCTCGTTGTCCCAAAGAAATGGCATGTAGTCTCTTGTAAGACAAGGCAAGGGCTCCTCTCTAGTCAAGAAGCCTTTAATAAAGTGCCTATAACAAGTGCACAAGCCCAGGAAGCACTAGACAGCCTTTTTGTTAGTAGGAGCTGGAAGAGCGACCACAGCAGTGAGCTTGTCAGGATTGGGTCAGACACCTTTCCCTCTCACCACATAGCCGAGGAACTTGTGCTCTTTGCAACTAAAGTGGCACTTTTCTGGCTTGAGTGTGAGATCTGCCGATTGAATAGCCTCTAGCACACTCCCTAGGCAGGGAAGATGTTTGAACGTTTCAGAAAAGATGACCACATCATTGAGGTACACGAGACAAGTTTGCCATTTCAGCCCAATGAGTACAGTGTTCATCATTCGCTGGAAAGTTGCTGGTGCTGAACACAAGCCAAAAGGAAGAACTCGAAATTCATAGAGGCCATTGCGGGTCACAAAGGCCATTTTCTCGCGGTCTCTCTCTTCTACCTCGATCTGCCAGTACCCACTTCTTAAATCCAAAGAGGAAAAATAGCGGGTGCAGCGTAGCCTATCTAACGAATCGTCCATGCATGGCAGCAAGTACACGCCTTTTTAGTCATGTTGTTCAGCTTTCAGCATCAACCCACAAGCGTAGCGTTCCATCGTTCCTTTTGATCAAGACGACCAAGCACTGTTGACCAAGCACTGTTAGAAGGCTCGATGATGCCATCCTCAAGCATTTCTCACACTTACATAGGAATCACTTCGCATTTTTTTGTTGACACGCGGTAAGGTTGCTTGTGTATAGGGCCAGTGTCGTCTTATGTGGTGATTCGGTGCCGAGTGATGAAAGTCCGATGAACCTTAGAAAAACTGACGAAGCATGAGTGGAATTCAAGCAAACATTTCCTCAATGCTGTCTGGTTATTGGATGACAGGTTAGAACATATGTCCATGTTGCCCAGTGACGTATTGGAAGTCTCCACTGCTTCAGATGTGAAGCAGTCCTGAACGTTGGCTATTTCATCTGCAAATGCTAATGTAGTACCGCGAAAAAGGTGTCAGTGTTCGTTACCGCAATTCAATAGAAGCAACTGAGATCAGCCATCGCGAAGCTGTATAATACTCCGAACTGCTCAAACCCGTTGGAGCAATAAGTGGTCTAAGTTACTTTTTGCGACTGCTTCACCATTTTGAAATCTATGGCACGTGACGTGAACTATATAGCACTGGCCCGCGGAGGGAGCATTACACTGTCAGCGGAAACACGAAGAACATCGGGTCATTGTTGATCGTCATGCTTGTCGACTGCTCGGTTGACTGAGAAGCTGTTGCGATGCTCTTCTGTTTGCTACAAACGTTCTGTTTGACGTTGCGGGTGCACAACACGCCGTCGGCTCGGTGGGTGCGGTTGCGCTTTGCATAGGTCCGAGATGGGGAGCGCTTGGCGTATTTCATGACGCAGTGCGAGCACCATTTTGGACGCCACGTGCTTTGTTGTTGTGCCGCTGTGTTTGCGGGGCGCTATCAGCAAAGAGGTTTCTCCTGCATTCGAGAAATGGCGCTTTGCCATACAAGGCGCGACTTTCAAATTTAAATTGCTGTTACCTGCACTCGCGCTGCTCTAAACTGTTTAGCATGATTGCATAATTATCTTTAGCTTTCCTTGTATTGTTATTTTGTCATATAATGGCTTCATTTAACGTTGTTTCAATTCTTAATGGCACTGGCTATCATACCGAAATAAAATGAAGAGATACATTTAAAAAGTTTTTTTTTCTTTTTTCAAGGATTAAGGTAGGGGGTGGGTTCATTATGCGAGTGGGTTCATTACGCGAGTAAATACGGTACTCATGAGTGGGAGTAGTCGTGAGTATGAAAGTGAGTAAGGGCCAGAAGTGTGAGTTCGCATCAGTATGAACATTAATGAGTGCCTGTCAGAGTAAGTAGGTGTGAGTATGAAGTGAGTGAGTTCTTATGGGTTTAAGTAGTCGTGAGTATGAAGTGAGTGAGTTGCTATGAGTTTGAGTAGTCCTGAGTATGAACGTTAGTGAGTACTCATGAGTGTGAGTAGTCATGAGTATGAACGTTAGTGAGGGCCTATGAGTGTGAGTCAGCGGGAGTATGAACGTGAGTGAGTACACATGAGTGTCAGTCGTGAGTATGAATGTGAGTGAGGGCCTATGAGTGTGAGCAGATGTGAAGGAGTGTGACCGCTTAGACAATTGTGGTGAGTGAGTAGTCTCTCAAAGTGCCGATTTATACAGGTGGGCTTTGTGGAGAGACAGAAGATGAGCGCTGCCTGTTCAGTGTGCGATGGGAGAGTCCGGCCCCCGGTGGCTGTGCTAATGATAGGGCTGCCAGTTGTGGCCTTCGTGCACTCGTGCGAGGCCTGTGTCTGAGGTTGAGTGCCGAGGCTCTGGCAGGCCTCGCCCAGTTGGCGCAGGTGGAGCCTCCGCCACAGCAGGCAATACCAGTGCGCCTCCTGGTTCACGGACTCAGCGTCACCCTGCTGGTGAGCACATGCGCTCTAAATTTAAGTTCAGCTCTGCAGTCGTGCGCAACTTTAGAAGGGAGCATGTGCCATACATCGAGGTTTACCACTCTAGTGGAGTACAACTTTAGAAAGCATTGGTGCTTTTTCCTCTAAGTTGCCTTGCGCCAATGGGCATGCAGTCTAGACTGACATCTTGAGCGAGACAGCTGGTGACTCCACTGTTGGCTCGTGAGTGGGGCTATGTTTGTAGTCGCACAGAAGATCGGTGGTCACACTTGTGCCACCTAAGTGGTGTCTCTTTTAGCTTCTTAAGATGTATCTCACTACAGTAATTGACGCATTTCAATGGATGCATATTCAAAAATTTTACCACGGGCTTCTCATGCATGTGGGGATCGCACTTATATACATCAAAAGTTGGGAAATGCCTAGAATAAGTGTGGCAGTTTCTTAAGAAGCCAAATAAAAGTGTTGGGCCTGGTATCACTGCGGCTATTGTACTGTCATGGCACAAAGCAATATTTTCTCATACACTTATGCTTATATACCTCGCATAATTAAGAGCCAGAGTTATCTAATCAGGCCAATACTATGGGAATTAGCAGACTGTCGCGCTATCTAGAAGGGGCAACTCAAAACATAAAATAATGTGTTTAATAGTTGGTGTACAACAGGTGGCTCGACAATCTGGACACTCCCGACATCTGGACCAATGGTGTGTCTAGATTTCGATACATAAAGCCTATGGGAAATTTGGCAACTCATATCATTGATTAACTCTGATTATGGCATGGTTATGACACGGTCGCTGTTTGTAAAATGTGTGGTTATTTCTTCTACTGTCTTGGCCGTACTAGTACAAGTTAAATTATTACCCTCTTTTCAGTTTTAAAAAGTGTGCTAAGTTCTATGAAATTTTGAATCCTGGCATTCTGAATGTCCAGGATGATCCATCGTCATCTGGTTCAGTCAGTGAAGAGAACGGTGGCCTGTTGCTCAAAGTGCCCCAGTGCCTCGTGGACAGGACACCCTCGGGCGCTGTCTACATCCTGCCCACCGGATGCGGTGAGTTCTGCACACCATAATGTCACCTGTATTAGTGTCTGGATGAGGTAGTGGTGGTCAGCCTTGGTGTGAATTGTTCTGTCTTCGACCACTGCAGGGTCTCTGATTGAGGCAGTGCAGCAGCTCCTGTGGAGGAAAGAAGAGCTCAGGCCGCAGCCAGAGCCAGTGTCAGTGGCACACCAACCTGACCTCAGCGGACTCGTGGAAGAGAACGAGCGGCTTCGCCAACGGCTTTCACAACTCTATGCTCTCCAAAGGGACAACCGCCTTCTGCGCGAGCAGGTGCTGTTTCAGCTAGCAACCATGGGTGCACATTGATTGAGTTTTCCATTTAGCAAAAAAGAATTATAAGGCATATATCAATGACTACAAATGCTTTAGTGCACTAAAACCTCATCATTATCTAGACGGCAGATAACATTAGGTGCACCCAGAGTGATGCATTAACTAATTGTCAATGCCAAATTAGCGCCTATAGCCGTATAAAAACTGCAGTCTACTCTTGTTAAAAGAGACCGATGTACAACATGCTATAAAATATGCCTAACTAAAGCTAGTACATATCTGGCAACTGTTCCAAATTGTCCGGAGGACTCCCGAATTGTGACTTCCCAATTGTACGAATGGCATCTAGAATCTCCTGAAAAGTGACTGCCATAGCAGAAGCATTTTTTTTTAATCGCGCACATATGTCAGCCTTTCCTGTTGCGGCAATAGCGGCGCCACGGAAGAGCATTTGCCGCTACTCTTTTGGTTCATTGTAACCATACCGTGGAGTACCACTCAGTATATTCTAGACACTATAGTACCGCTCACCTGGTTGAAGGCCAGCATTCATGGGAGGTGCTCGTCCCCACATTTCGCACGCTTGTCCTACGCCGCTTGCCTAGGCGTCAATTCTGTTTCTTACGGGGGGGGGGGGGGGGGGGGGGTGCAAGTATCGTCGAGTCAAGATGGAATCCATGACAGTGTGAAAAGCAAAGAAGCACTTGCAAGTGTTCCCGGACTCGTACTCAGTGGAGTTTTCGTGCTTTGTGGCTTAGCAGAAAGGTGACAAGTGCGTATTCTGTACTACGTGCGCCTTCATTGTAAGCGTTTGGTGTGGTGGTAAGGCCGAGATATATGTGCGAATTGCTTCTCAGAAGCGTTGGAACAACGTTGCTGCTGTGGAAAGGGAAGGAAACATCGAGAGTTTCTTCCAAAAAAGCTGCAAAGACAGTGTGATCCGCGCAGAATGCCTCTATATTCATGGGATCACTTGCTGAACACAAGCTGCTACTAAGCGTGTGATCATGCAGGACCATTGTCCCAAAAAATGTCCCTGAAGTGCAAGAACGTCAAGCGGTATGGGTGCGGACGTGTGAAAACAACGACCATCGTTGGGAAAGCGGCTGCAGATGCTGAAAACGTAATGGTGGAGGCCCTGAAGTGCCATGCTTTAGCAGTCTTAGTGGATGGAAGGAAAGGCAGTGGGTTGCGAATGTCTGAAATTTCAAACTAAAATTTTTTATTTACCAGACAAAACTAAAAGGTCGCCAAGGCTAAACGGCATGAAAACAACTTGACAAAGGCCTCGGTGACCTGTACATACACATGGAAGTAGTGCGAAAATGATTACAGGTAAATAACATGCAAGTACAATAAAAACATGAACAATACTGTCACGTCCCTTAAGCCCAGGTGAGGTTTATTCGACGTAGGGGTGGAGCAGGAGGACTCCTGCCAGATGCCCTGCTTGGGCATGCACTCGAGAGATAAATAACGCGTGCACTTCTTTTGTGTCCTGTGCCTCTTCATAAGCATGTCACCCACTACTACGGGTGGAACTATTCCCTCCTCTGCGAAAAACAGTATTGCCTCGATGCTGCAATGTAGGTGTAAGACAAAAAAGTAAACGGATTACGCAGCTCAATAAGGATAATGAAAGGCTAAGCTCAAACAGTCAGTGAAAGTTTAGGCACAATAAAAATTGGAAATGAATGGCAAGAGAAATTATGAACACGCCAGATAAGGTTTCATGTGCACAACATGATTTATGTCGGAGCTCGGTTGTCTTCGTTCTGTTTGAGTTGACGACCCATTGTCCGGAAATACCTCATAGTTCACATTACTCACACGCTGCTGCACCTTATAGGGTCTAGTACAGGCATAGCAACTTTTCCGAAGGGCAACGGCGACGAACAGGGTTCACACACTAACTTGGTCTCCTGGACTGTAGGGCAGTCTCGATGGCGGGTATTGTAGCATCGTGCACCTGCCTGCTTTTGCAGACCAATGTGCTGCCGCGCGAGCTGGTGAGCTTTCTTGACAGGTTTGGTGAATTCTTCGTCAGCTGTTAAGGGGGGACACGGGTCTTAGAAGGCGAAAAATCGCAAAAAATCGACTTTTTGAAACTGACATTTTCGGAAACTGCGCCTATTTTTGCACTTATCAGAGAAGTTTCTAGCTTCTCGCGTTATTATTTCTGGCTCAAAATCATTTTGTAACATCCCTGTGAGATGAATGTGAGCGCAAATTGACGCTAAAATCGCGGTTTTTCCACGCCAAACTGTTGCCGTTACACACGAGCTATCATGTTCATCTTGGTCTCGTTTGGAAGGGTCGTTCTTCATCTTCAATTTCCCCCAACCGCTGGCTCACGTTGCTCATTGGTTTTTTAGTAAAAACGTGTCATCGAGAAGCACTAGCGCACGATTCAATTGGCTGCTTGGGGCACGTGACCAAATTTTGGCATCCGATTGGCCAAGGGGCGCTTTCGGCGTCTGCTTCACCATTGTGACGTGCACGGACATGCACCATTTTGTCATGGTGCTTCTGACTGCTTGCGGCAGCAAAGAAGTTCCGTGCTACAGTAATTTGTGAAGCGGGTGTGGTGGTTGTTTGTTCTCTGTGAACTTCAGAAAAATCCCCGCTATGGCTCAGGACAACGAGGATAACGGACTCGACGTGGTCAACGGTGGTCGCCGAGTCACCGGTGTAGGCCTAACTCACGTACGAGCCCATTGGTTGCCGACAAGGTTACAGAGAACGGCTGTGTTTTGCAGCCTCATCAGTTAGAGGACAGCATGTAAAAAGCAGAAGTGAAGCTGCCAGAGATATCAATCTTTGTAGTGATGGAACGGAAGCGCAGGCTTATCGCTAAACCCGCCGAAGTCGTGGTTCCCCCCCGCCTGACGAAAGGACCTTGAACTGTGCGACGCATCGGCAGAAGCCCAAACCTCATAAGCACGAAAATGCACGTGACAGCGACGAGCGATGCGACGTAGATCGTCTTCACGCGATCAGTCGCTAGCGCAGGCAAACCTCATTCACGTGACGGCTTCGACGAGCGAACTCCACTGTTGTTGGCATGAGGCCGTCTACTCGCACAAAAAAAAACGCGTAGTGAGCGATATGCATTTTAAAAATAAGATATATTGTTATGTAATGGAACGGAAAGTGTTTATGAATGCCTTGCAACACTTTTTTTATATGTGCATGCGTAAACATTGCGTTATTTCTTGTTGCACATACGTGACTAGGGCAGGGTCACGTGCACCTATGTAGTCTTTGTCTTTTTCAGTTTTTCGCTATTGGCTGCTTGAGCCCAGCACTTCCGGGCGATGAGCGACGGTTTTCAAATCTGGAGAACCAAGCGATCGCGCGAAAACTACCCCGCGACTCGTCGCGCGAACTCCGCGTTTCGTCGCTCATAGCATCGCTCGTCGCTGTCGCGTGCATTTTCACGCTTATGAGGTTTGCTCTTGAGCGTCGACCAACAACAGAAAGTCAATCCGTTCGCAGTGAACATGCTCGCAGCCGCCGCAATGGAGGCTACTGGTAACAGGTAGACTGCTTTTAACGACGTGTTCTCAACGTTGTCGCGATCTCCGCTCGAAAATGCGGCAGTCTTACGTGAAAAGGAAACTAACACCTCGGCACTCGTGTAGCCTCGAAATCGATGAGCGAGGGTGCAACTTTGGTTCGCAACACTTACGGGTAACTTATTCTGGACAAGCCAGAAAACATCGCCGCGTTATTCGACGGATCGTGGATGATGCACGCACATTTCTCGCACATTGCTGTCAGTACAGTCACCGAACTGATAAGCGGCCTCGCGGCAGATGAGTACATGGCGACAACTTGCTACAGGACTAGAAGAAATGGCACGCTCGTACAAACAATCAATCCTATTACATTCCCAGTGCATATTAACTAAAGTATGTGTGCCATGATATTTTCCCTCGGAACGGCGAAATTAAATTTTAACAGCATTGTTCTCGAAGCACAGATTTTGACCACTTTCTTTTGCTTGTTCGGTAAAAGTGGACCTATGACAGCTAGAGCTGTAATTCTTTTTGCACAATGTAGCTAAAGGTCCACAAAAAAACAATGCTGGGAGCCTATTTTTAATGGGGAGCTTCATTTTTTAAATTTTAATTATAGAAATTCCTGTATTTGGTTACATGCAATGCACTTTACTGTGTTGTAGTTCGAGAAGTACTCGTTCAATTTTTGATCAGCTTGCAGCATTGCACTCCTTAAGCTTTCTAGTATTCATTTATATGTCAATGGCTATGTAATTATAAGTGCATACATTTTTACAGTTAAAAATGTTAGAATTCTTTGTTTTCTTCATTTTCTCAAAATGGCAATTTTGTACACCCTGCATGAAAATTACTGCATATATCTGAAACTATTACAGATAGCAGAATATTTTATTTTGCAGTATGAAGCTATATGTTTGGAGCATACAACATAGGAAGAAGATTTTGATTTCTCTTGATGCAAGTTTTTCAAACTAGTCTATTGTGTGACCACACAATGGCCACACTCAGGGCTGTGAAGTTTAGTGTACTGTAAAGTAAGAAATAATGACCCATTCAAAAAAGTGCTTTTTATGTTGCATGTCTTATGCTTTCTACCGTCGATCCCTAGGTTCTTTATAAATTTTTGACTAGTGGTTATTTTTATATTATGGTAAGAGCTTTAGAAATTGTTATCTTGATTATTTAATTAACTAATGAAGCTACAGAAAAAATAACATTTTCAGAATCCAGAGAACAAACTAAGTAAGCATGCCACGTTTTGTCACATTTGGTTAAAAAACAAATGAAAGAGCCCTAAGACCCATGTCCCCCCTTAAGTGGTCAGTGTCTTGATAGGGAAGCATAGCGTCCAACATACGGTAGTTTGAACTTTGCAGCTGTACAGAAGGTCAAATAGTGTGAATAGAGTTGTTTCCTGAACAGCGGTGTTGTAAGCAAACATCACATAAGGTAATATCTCATCCAACGTTTTGT